GGCCCCACCCCTCCATCCCCAACCAGTCCCACAGCCCAACCCGCACACGCCATCACTCACATTTATACTGAAGGAAATGACAGCAGGACTCAGTGGTATGATAATGAAAAGACCCACAGGCAGAATGATGAACCGTACCCTTGGCTGTTCTCTGACTGAATCAGGGGGCCTCAAAGTAGCCCTCAACAGCTAATTGAAAACCCCCATACCCTCCCCTAACCTACCCGGCTTCCTTTATCATTCTAATTATTGGGGTTAAGTGAATATCCCATGGGGCTATGAGTGGTACAGTGAGTAGATAAAACATATATAACAAAAGCTTGAGTTTATCACTGTAGCTGTCCTGAATTCAGAATACTGACATGTAGCCATGCTCAGATCAGTCTTCCTTGCCCTGAAAATTCATAGTTTTTGTACCAAATGAAAATTTCCTTTTAAGATGTGTCAATAAAAACTCTATGAAAGTGTTTATTAAAGCATAGGATTGCGACTCTCTATAAAATATATTTATTGTTGTTAATAACTCTCTTGTAAAATCAATAATAAGTTGATCCCACTATATTGTCTGTGTTTCATATCTTATTCCTCTTGCTGAATGCAATAATGCAATTATCCACAGTCAGCTGCCACCATGATTATGATCACGATCCACGATAATGATCCAAGATCCATGGTCCAGTGCATATCTGAAAGCAGTGAGGTGGATGCAGCTGTGCTCCTGGATTTGCAATAATAAAAGCACAAGGAACCCGGGGAAGAGGTCACGTCAGTAATGTGTATTGATGAGACATTAATGTGATAAAAAGGGAGAAGAGGAAAGAGAAGCTCCATGTGTCATGTTTCCCCTACAATCCAGGCCTATAGCAGGATAACTAAGAGCTGGTCCAAGAATGACCTGAACCAGCTCTAACTATAAACTTTATCAAAACAGCAAGGTTTTAAACCTATTCTTAAACTAGAGAGGGCATCAGCCTCCCCAATTGAAAATGAGAGATGATTCCACAGGAGAGGAGCTTGATAGCTGATAGAGACTTAAGGGAAAACAAGTAAGCCTGAATTCTGAGATTGCAGTGCTAGCTAGTGGGGTGATACTAGGTGTACTGTGAGCCCTTTTAAGGATTGTGCCATACCATTAAGGGCTTTGTAGGTGAGGAGGAGATTTTAAATTATTTTCTAAATCGATGTAGTGAAGCTAATACAGGACAAATATAATCTCTGTTCCTGGTCTTGTCAGGACACATGCTGCAGCATTTTGTACAAGCTGTGAAGAGTCTCTGAAGACTTCAAGATATTGGTGGAGCCACATAATAGGGGATTTCAATAGTCAAGTCCAGTTGTGTGTGTATTTGCAGAATGTTGACTAGAACAGGCCATATCTTATGCTGTAGGATGCCTTATCCTACCCATATACAACATACTCTTCCAGTACTTTTCAGTCTCAGTTCCCCAAACCCAAAAAGGTTTTTATTTTGAAAGTAGTTTTTGGACCACTATGGCGCATTTGTCTGTGCTGGTTAACTAGCATAGAGCTAATCCTAATAATGGCCCACTAAATTAATATCATGTAGTCCTTAATAAATGGGTTGTCGTCTCCTGCAACAATGAGCTTAAAAGCAAAACTAAGTTGTATGATAATTTAACATCTTTCCTGTCTGTAGCCTGTTTAGGTGTCTCTGTAGTTCTGCACAATAACTGAAAACCACATTGACTTAGTTATTAATGGTGCCAGGTCATGAATCCAGATTGTTGCGCTTACTTTCCCTGATGTCCTGGCTGTGCACTAATAATGTACAAAATGTTGGACTTATTTCTGTGTTAATGTGTGCCTCATTAATTCTAGAACGAACAGATAAACTGGACTGGTCCACTCACACAGAGGCCGTCTACAAGAAGGGCCTGAGCCGGCTTTACTTCCTGAGGAGGCTTGGGTCCTTCAGTGTCTGCAACAAGATGCTGCAGATGTTCTATCAGTCTNAGCTGTAATATCAAAATCAGCTGTAATATCAAAATCATTCTGTAATGGAAAACTTGCATATGACATTAGTTTGAACTCTTTCCTATGTCTGATCATTGCTCGTGTGCTGTGTTCGACAATAACTCATATAGAAACACAATTGTGCTTGCATAAGAGGAACTGCTTGGCAAACGTGCAGACGGACGATTTGAAACAACACACTAATCTTTGCAGTAGCAAACTTCTTTCGTTCATGCAGAAGTAAGAGCAGTTAGCTTCCTGTGTTAACCAGACTAAAGGTGGCTTCCGTTTTTCATTTGCCATTACTCAGAAACAGTTATCTCTTATGTTTCCTGTTTACCTGACTGTATAAAACCTTCTTCTTTCCCTATTTGAAGGTGTTCCACTCTGAGCATTCATGCTGAGTGTGAAACCCTCTGCAGAGCTCTATTAAAGACCCAAAGATAACTCCGGTCTGAAAAAAACTCTTTATTTCACATCTCGAGATACATTTCCACCACAATTCTTTTCGAATCAATTATATTTTTATGCTTTATATGGCAAACAAAGCAATTTCTGCAAAGGCAGGTTGTCACAGGAACAAAACATCATAACATCCCACCAGTTAAATATTACACTGGGTAACCAGATGCTTCTGCATTTAATACTGTTATGCAAATGAACTGTGCTTGGCTTCTTTAATATACTGATACCCCAACATTTTCAGTAAACACACACTGTGTGTTCTAATTTGTAATTTTATACAATTAAAATCAAACAAAAAGTATGAATGTCAACATCTCAGAAAATATGCAATGCCTAACTTACGATTTGAGGTTGACACCACATCCATCACCCAAACTGAGCTGTTTAGAGCGACTTATAGTAAATTCAACATGTATGAGGGGCCATTCGAGGGTTCAGTGCCTGGATAGTTCTGCTAATTAACTGTTAACATGTGTTTGTTAGAGGACAACACTGAAATTAGCTGGTTTCAATAAAGTTGACAGTGATGTTATCTTCAAACAGAAAATCAGAACAGAAGCAAAGAAAGAGCTTTAAGCCATTCTCATCTAGTTCTCTGACATACCTCATATCGGTCTCCAACTCTCAATAACAAACATGACAAGAAAATGAACTAAAACATCATCATAGAACTTCTCCAGTTAATGACTTATACATTAGGACAGTATTTTCCCCTGAAATGTTGTTTACATATGCAGATTAGCTTGTTTGGTGAATTTAGGAGAAATCTACTGACACAAAGGGTAAAACATCACCATCAAAATGTGTATATTTGTATTTTCTTTCCATTAGAGCGAAAAAAGACATGGAAGCATGGAACCAACTTTGTAGCTTTAAGAGTAGGCTTATTTTTTTTATGGTGAGAACAGCTGTTTTCAGTTTTGTCTGGAGATTTTTGTTGATTTTGAAGTGTTGCTTATTTAAATGCCACCAAAAGAATTCAAAGGATTTATTGCCATGTGAAAAATAAACATGATTAGTACAAGTTTTGAAAATTCTTACTAGTTATTTTAAATATAGAAACCAGCAGTAGAGTTAACATGCTCATGGTGGTATAGTTTCCTTGTTGGTGTTGCCTGATAAACCAAGTGAATACTAAATAAGTCCATTGTCTCTGTGTGAACTGTTTTTAACAACTGTGTGAGTGTGAGGGTGAGTCAGAGAAAATGTCCTGAATGAAGGTGGCCTGGTCAAATGATCCAAGGTTGCGTGGTGCTTTCTCAAGGATTTCCTTCATGGTTTTGATATGTACGACAAGAAAGATTCTTTGATACTGTTGACGGTGACACCATACAGGGTTTCCTCCAAGAGTGGAAGTGGAAAGTGCATGCGGAAACATCCACTGCTAGCCTCCCTATGACAAATGCTTTTCCAATGGCTTGCTCTCTGTACCCACATCTCCTCTTTTCCCCATTTTTCACTGGTCACCACAACTGCTCAACCGGTTGCCCACACTGAATCTGGTTCTGTTGTCTGAGGTTTCTCCCAGTTAATGAGGGAGTTTCTTCTCTCCACACTCAAAGTGCTGCTCATTATTGGAACTGTCGGGTTTCTCTGTTTTGTTAGATCTTGACTTCACTATGTAAAGTACCTTGAGATAATGTATGTTATGATTTGGTGCTATAAATATATACTGTACTAATATTCTTATATACTGTCTAACAATAACATTACCATCATATCATTATTACTATTATCATCATATTGCCACTGCACTACTTGTCTGCCTATTCATCTTGTGTTTCTGTTTCTGTTCTTTTTACCTAAATGTTTTGTTTTGTTTTGTTTTGTTCTATTGCATTGTGTTTTGTTGTGTTCCGATACACAAGCTGCTATGACACCTTAATTTCCCTCCGGGGATGAATAAAGTACTCTATCTATCTATCTATCTAAATGCAGTAGTCTTTAATCACTGTATGGCTCCTTATAACTTCTGATTATTGTTCAAATGCAAAGAGGGCACAAGCCAGCAGGAGTGGGTTGAACTGACAGGATACTTCGGCATGATAAAAGTGTTCCGGGCAGATAATGTGTGTCTACCCAAGTCTGATGTGTAATCAGGAGCTGCTATTCTAATTTGTTTTGATCTTACAGAAGTAACAGCCTAATATTACAGTTTCTCTTTCTTTCTTCTGTTCCTCCTTTTTCCAAACATTGTGAAAGCTGTTATAATTCCAGTGTGCTGAATTGTACATGGTGTAAATGGGATTGGAAATTAAGAGGGATCTACTCCACACCATGACTTCCTCATCTCTGCATCTCTGTAAATCTATTAGTTTGTGTATATGTGTGTGTGTGTGTGTGTGTGTGAGAGAGAGAGAGAGAGTGTGTGTCAGAGAGAGAGGGAATCCAGGCCATAGCACACACGTTTATTCAAATAGCATTTGGTTCCCGTACCATACGAGCTTTTAACGTGCTATTTTCCATAACAATTATTTCTGTAGATATGTGATGGATCTTTTTTGGGTTAGTCGGTGAACAGTGCCTCCGCTGACGTGATACGTCAGCGGAGAGCAACGCGATGGCGTCATGACTTGAGACGCTGATTAGGTGTTCGTCCAGCCCGGGGAACCGGAAGTAGTCTCAGAAAGGAAGAAGCCAAGCGAATATTTTCGTTTAATGCAGCATAGTATTAGTCTGTGAGCTATTAGTTAGTGTCTTATGAAATGTGTAATTGTATTCGTGGATGGTCTTCGTCGACGTGAGGTAAGAGCCTTATTTGACCTCAGCTAGTATGCTCCGAGTAGCTGCTAAAGACAACACTCAGGCTAACTGTGTTATTTATGCAACACGTTTACGTTAAACCGCAGGAGACCACAGGTTGGAGCTAATAGTGAGCGAAGAGACAGTCGAAAGCTATTAGTTTTTCAACGCCACCTCTTCGTTTGTTCCCTGACAGTTAGTTACCACCACAAAATTAATGTAATACAATCTAAGAGCGATTTCACTGAGATATAGTGCGCATGGGACAAAGTAAGTCCAGCATAGAGATGCCATTGTAATATATGATTATTGTGCATCAGATGAGTAGCAATCATAGACTGTATATAAAGATACCAATACGATAGGTGCTCTCAGGAGCGCCGCTAATAATGTTGGGCTCGATGAAAGAATATAGTACTTGAAAACAAAAATATGCGCTAGATCCACCCTACATGAGTTAAATAAGCAATCCTCTAGAGAGATAACCACTAAACATATAAATATACATTGACCAGTGACTTGTGGACTTTGTTGTGCAATAGAGGTGGACAATATATAGAAAAACGTTTTTTAAACACACAAATTAGTCATAACATGCTGCCTGGAGATGAATGCATAAAAATTAGGAAAGGGTAGTTAGTTTAACCTGCTAGTAAAGCTACCCTAATTTCGATGGAGTGTTATTTTATTTAAATAGAACTTCTAAAGATCAGTTAAGTCATCAACTTAACTTTTTTCCCCCAACTGTTGTGCCAATAACTTATATTTCAAAAGCCAAACATAAATGTTTGCAACACTTCCTGCACACGTTTAAAAAATAAATCCTCTTCAGCGTTTCTGTTGACTGAATCCATTCATTTGTTTTAAAAAAGCTTTATTAGAAATACTGTATTTGCAGGAGCTACAGGGCTGGAATTTATTTGAGTATATAGGACTAGTCTAGAAAATACATTTTTCAGATCAGAAACATCACAAAGGCTGTAGTTATAGGATATTCAAAGTCAACAAAGAACTCAAGGTCATGGTCTCTCTTTCTCTCGCTCTCACACACACAGTGTGCAACAGGTAAAAAAAACTTCCCATTTTGACCACTCGTCAAGTTACATTATTAGGTTTGTCTAATATCACATTTAATAGAAAAATTCCTGTCGTTACAGTTAGGACAAATATGCCCCTCGCCCCCAAAATTCCTATACAAATACTCCATATGTATGTTTGCAGATACTTACTGTTTAAAAAAAATGTAAATATGTAAGTTCCTTTTTCAGAGTGTATTTTGAGTCTTGGCTAACAACCTGCCTGTCCTTGTTTTTCATCTTCATTTAGGATGTCAAGGGAGGACATTGAACTTGCTGGTGGATAAAGAAGTGCCATACATTTCCATATTCTCTGTCTTAGGCCTTCGAATGTCTTTGACACTGACAGCTATGAGTGACAGTAGCGCAATGACCAGCAGGCACCAACAGTGGTCAGGGGTTGGGCAAGCGCAGCCACCTCCCCGTGGTCCCTATATCTCAGTCATCACCAACAGGTTAGCTCTGTCTGCTTCACATAAGTTCACTTTAACAAGACCACAAGGCATATAGGGTCAAGACTGGAAGTATTTGGACAGTTACACTTTTTTTGTTCTTCAGTCTGTGAGCCACAGCACAAACTAAAAAAACTCATCTTTTCTACTTTATTTACTCCTGGCGTCTACATTCTACAGAGTTTTTGAACCTCTAAAACAGTCACTTTTAGAAATGCAATTGGCCCTGTTTTATTAGGGGGTGTGCTTTTTGTCTGGACAGGCAGTCACCCATATTTGCTTCATGATTGGGTCTTATTAATCAGGACTTGACTACCAGCGGTGAATGCACTAACTCCCAGTAACAGTTTCACCCTGTCGTAGCCACAGCATCACGGCAGCCTCCTTCAGCTTCTGTTGTGATGGCCTCTCTGCCTGTAGTCTGGTCTTCATCAATAGAGATCAAACTGAGATCAGGTGAATGACTTAGCCAGTCGAAGATATTCCTTCTCACTCTCAGTAGCTCTTAGTTTGCTGTATAGCAAGCATCAGAGCTTACCTCTGTTGGCCTAGGTAGACATTCTTAATAGACACTGCTAAAAAAAATTAAGGGAACACTTAATCGTCACAGTGTAACACCAAGTCGGTTAAACTTCAGGGATATCAATCTGTCCAATTAGGAAGCAAAAGTGATTGTAAATCCATTTCACCTGCATTGGTGAATTCCCTACTGATACCTCTCTAGTTTTGTGTTCTGCTAGTGTCCTTGACACTATTAGGTATGTTAGGCGGTGCCTGCAGCCCAACCAAGTTGGGTCCTCCAGCACAGTCTCAAGAGCATGGAGGAAATAGACTGGCTGCTACACGAGGAGAGCTAGACAGGGCCATAGAAGGGCATTAACCAGTATCTGTTCCTTTGTGTGAGGAGGAACAGGTGGAGCACTGCCAGAGCCCTACAAAATGACCCCCAGCAGGCTACTGGTGTGCATGTTTTTAACCAAACTGTCAGAAACGGCCTTAACAAGGGTTGCATGAGGGCCCGACGTCCTCTAGTGGGACCTGTGCTTACAGCCCAGCAAAGTGCAGCTCGTTTGGCATTCGCAAGGGAACACCAGAATTGGCAGGTCTACCACTGGTGCCTGTTCTCTTCACAGATGAGACCAGGTTCACAGTGAGCACATGGTGACAGAGTCTGATGCAGAGGTGAATGTTTTTCTAGTCTAGGTTAGTGATGGTCTGGGGAGGCATATCTTCGGAAGGTCACACAGACCTCCATGTTATAGCCAACAGTACCCTGATGTAGGTACCGGGATTACCCATTGTCAGATCATATGCTGGGGCGGTAGGCCCTCCTCCTGGTGCAGGACAATGCCCGGCCTCATGTGACCAGAGTGTGTAGGCAGTTCCTGAATGACGAAGGCATTGATGCCATTGACTGGCAATCACGTTCCCCTGATCTAAATCCATTGGAGCACCTATGGGCTGCATATATCTCAACAGCGCACACACACTGACTCAGCTACTCACTTTTCTGTCAATCCCATCTCTCTCTGTCTCTCCCAGACTTAGCTGATGTCTCTGACTTGCTATATATAGCTTAAACATTGATTTGTTTGAACTGATGCCACAATATCAACAATAATCATCACATAATGATTGATACTTTTCTCAAATGAGTAAAATTTTCATCAGAGCAGCACACACATTCATCAGCCCGTCCCTCTCACTCTCTTCCTACCTTGCTGACACCAACACACACAAAAACTATGTCATTGTATTATTAAAGCAATGTATTTTGAGTTCCTGCTTTCCTCTCAACATGTTTTTCAGGTTGTAGAAAAAAAAACTTTTTTTGTATTGTAGAACCACCAACCTTGTGATACGAGGAGCCATGCTGTTCTTTGTGGGTGTCTTCCTGGCCCTGGTGCTGAACTTACTTCAAGTCCAGAGAAACATAACTCTCTTTCCCCCTGATGTCATCAGCAGTATCTTCTCTTCCGCCTGGTGGGTGCCACCCTGCTGCGGCATGGCCTCAGGTATGTGAACACATGCCTCGTAATGGGTTAAAAAATTCTTGTCTGGATTATTTAGATTATTACTTTTACACAGAGAAAAGTTCTGCACATAGATGCACAGATGTGGTTTCCAGGTCTGGTCTAAGTTCTGGTAACAAAAGTTTTCATACAGCACAAGTATTGAATAGCTCATAGAACAGCAAACAACCATGCCAGTCTCCACTGTAGCTGGAAGACCGTTTCAAAATTTCACATACACATTAACTGCTAGATTTGCCATCATCCTCACATACATTGTTGTACAGAATGTGGCTACAGATTGATCACAGTAGGAGGATATTCAGCCAAAGTCAACATTCACATGATTCAAAATGTACATGATTTTTTTAAAAATCACATGCATTCATCTGTATTCATTTTGTTTCTGGAGGACAACTCAAATACAATTAGTAATTTTCAGATTAGGGATGTCATGATGCCAAAACTTTAGTAGTTGATACGGATACCATGAAATTTCAACAATTCTCGATACCCAATTTGATACCATTGCAAAGAAACAAAATTCAACAATAAATCACATTACCATGCCGCATGTCCTCTATCCCCCACTGACCTGTGCTCACTTAACATTATATACCAACACTAATCAGAAGCTAGGATCTGCAGTACTATTACACAGAAGACGCGACGCAGTGACCAGAATGATTCATTACCTGAAATCATTGATTTATAAATAAATACATGTAATGGCCAGTGGGTGTGAAGAGTGACAGAGACACACTCACACACTCCTGCAGAAAGAAGAGAAGTTGTTTTCGCGGATTATGACGAGATGGTGTGTTCTTCATTGTTGGAGAAGAAGCAATGTCCCGTTTATCCAGGAACGTAAATAAGGACAGAGGATGTCACGCCTTGTTAAGCCCTATGAGACAAATTGTAGTTTGTGAATGTGGGCAATACATATCTATTTTGATGGATTAATTGATTGAAATATTAATCCAGCAGGTTTTTATAAAGATCAGCTCTAAGTGTGAGTGATTAGAAAAGAGCAGAGGAGCAGAGTAACTTGTTGACCAGCAGGGCCCCCCGGATACTGTAAAGGTTATAATCTGAGTTTTTCACCACACAAGCCTCATTGCAGTCATGTGGAGAGTGTCAAAATGATCAAAATATACTCATTATGTTATTATAATAATGTCATAATGTTATTTTATTTATTTATTTACTAGGGGTGTACTTCAGCATTATACTGGAGCAATAGGTAGGTGGTACCCTCCGTTTGCCGCTAGGTATTTTGCACACTGGGTTAAATCATGAAATTTGATTTCTTTAAAATTGAGTACATTTTGTTTGTATTTTATTCAGTCGCTATCTGACTGGCTGGGCATATTTCATATTAGTTGATATAACAAAAAATGTCAACTTATTATTTTTTTTACATTTAAAAACTAATTTTTGCTCCTGAGTGAAGGCTGACATTTTAAACTTCCTTATGGGCAGAACATGACAAACACTTGCTAAACAGCAAAACATTTGATCACATCTGAGGCAGAACATTACAACCAATTCTTTAATATGCCTCTTGTCTATGCTTGCCCAATAGATAAGCTATATGTATATATACATGAATGTGTGTGAGTAGGTGGCAAAAGTATTGTAAAGTGCTTTTAGTGGTCATCAAGACTAAAAACATGCTATATAAACAGACCATTTTTTGACATATTTTGTTTGTTGTCAACTTCTTTATTACCCACACTTAGAATAACAGTTGAAAATAGACACATGCAACATTTTCAACACGTAGGAGGCAAATAGAAACCCCAGAAATACTCAAATCACAACCAACTACTCACAACACAATTAAGTACTCACACACTAATAAGTAGTGTTGTGAGTATGTGGTTGTGTTGTGTGTATTTGGTGTTGTTTCTTATTTGCCTCGTATGCGTTTTCACATTGATGAAGATTTTTAATCTATTTGCATGTTGTGTCTGCAAGTGTTTTCTTAAATAGCAGTTATTTGAATTCTCAGGGCCACCATATTTTATAGTTGTTTGATTAACATTCCATGATGTTATTGTTAACAGTTACTTAAATAGACCACTACCAAATACTGAACAGAGTGGTAGTATTTGGTAGTGTTGTGACTATTGGGTACTGTTGAGTTGCAGGAATTTGGTTGTGTTGTGAGTGTTTGGTGATGTTGCATGGCGCACTGCGGTGTTGGAAAACAAACTGAAGCCAGACACAACAAAAACAATATGCCAATCCTGTAGCCTTCATCAAGCTGCTGAGCAATGCTAAGCCTGCCGCAAAAATCTAGCCTCATTGTGTTGTCTAAATGACTGTGGCAACTTACTTACACTATTTGCACTATTTTTTAACAGAAAATAACTTTTTGCACATTTGTGTTAATCTGCTGTACAAATGTTTTTTGTTATTCACAACATTTTTATTTGCTCTTACAATCATCCTGAGCCACTGCACTTTACTTTCAACATTTCATACAAACCACTACAGTGAAATGGTGTATATAATGTACATACTCAGCATTTTTTTAAATTAAATTTTATATACCGTTGCCTTTTTATAATTTTTTATTCTACGCTATATTCCTATACTTGAATATCTAATTCTGACTTGTCTGCTGCTGTAACAACTGGTATGTGGATCAATAAAGTTTTATCTAATCTCTAATTCCATTTGCACTTTTTAGAGAGATGTTTTAGGTCATGCACCCCCCATCGTTGTCCACAGTACCTCCTGCCAAAACAGCGAACAGGGGACGCAAATAAAATGCATTTCTTAAACCACATCCAGTTAGCCACCTCTGTTTCTCAAAACAAGACCGAGAGAAGGTCTGGGTGTAAGCTCGTCTTCAGGTCGGTCCCCAAGATCCCTTTTTTCTTTGAGTGAACACCTTGTGTAAGGGCGTTTTGGAAGGAAATTACCAGATTTGTTGCAGTTCCACTTGAAGTCGCCATATATTTGCTGGTCTGCTCGCAGCGGAACTTAGTGATGGTGGATGTATCTGAGACGGCATTGAGAGTCGAACAATCACATTAGATCAAAAAGAAACTTAAATCAATAACATTTTGCTGTAAATAAAAGTGGGAGTGTCACTTAAGTATTGTATCTGTTTTTAGACAGAAATGAACCAAATACAATTTTAAAACTTTTCTATTGAATGCTCACAGGCACCTACAGTCTATCTGGTGCATTGCATGAGTTAACTATTATTGTCTAATTTAATTAAGTATAACATGTTTATATAGGCTTTTTTTTCATAGGATGTTGGAGGGGGCGCCGCCACAGTGCACAGTTTTAACAAGCTGCCACTGCTTGGTTTGCGTTGTGAATAATTAGTAGTGTTGTGAGTATTTGGTTGTGTTGTGTGTATTTGGTGTTGTTTCCTATTTGCCTCGTATGCGTTTTCACATTGATGAAGATTTTTAATCCATTTGCATGTTGTGTCTGCAAGTGTTTTCTTAAATTGCAGTTATTTGAATTCTCAGGGCCACCATATTTTATAGTTGTTTGATTAACATTCCATGATGTTATTGTTAACAGTTACTTAAATAGAATATGTGGCCCAGGAAACTCACCCTGGACCTGTCCCCTGTTGGCTCCTCCAGGAACCCTACCATGGCTGTCAGTGTGCCAATAGAATAGTGTAGATATTAGCTCAAAGCATATTCTCATCAACACAATACTAGTAATGTTGGCACTACCGCTGTAGCAGGGAAAGCTGTTTGTGTTGCCTCTTGTTTTTCTGCCCTATGCTTATTTCCCCCTTTTTTGCCCTCTAGCAATGATTGGACTGCTGTACCCCTTCATCGACAGACATCTGGGTGAGCCACACAAGTTCAAGCGAGAATGGTCAAGTGTGATGCGCTGTGTGGCTGTGTTTGTGGGCATCAACCACGCTAGTGCTGTATCCTTCAAGATTTTTAAGCTTTATGCATCTGTTGCTGTTCTTTCTAATAATAAAACAACCAATCTTTCTAAGATTTGATTGGTTGCAGAATTTCTCCTCTTTGTTGACTGTATTCCCATTGCATGCACAGTATTATGTGCACATACCATAATCAGGGGAACCTGGTTGTTTACACAAGCCGTTTTCAGATCCTAGGAGGATCTCTGCAGAATTTGGTCTGGACTTTCTCCACGATTTTCCTTTCACACATGAACAACACAGCAGGAGGTTCTCTTGCTCAGAGTATTCACAACAGCAATAAATCCTCCACAGGATTCAGGTGAGGGGTGATGCAGCAGGTGGAGGCAGGATGTAACGTATTATTTCTGTTGAGGAGAACACTTGATTTTGTTTACATTACATCAACAATGTAGTCGGCTCTTATCACCATAAACAGTCTTGATGTCTTCGTCAGTGCCTTCTATATGTGTGGCACTGCTTTTTCATTATGAGATAATTGTTTACTTTTTTTTTTTCTTTTTTATTAATGCGCCTGTTGCGTCTGTCTTTTTCAGAGAATCAAGCTGAGCAATTATTAGCTGTATCTTGGCTTGTGCCATTGATATTGATGTTATATGATTGATTGATACTTGTGACTGCTTTTGGCTCGCCATGTTGGAAAGGAGTAGCACTTTTAAATACAGAAAGTTCCTTGACCTTTCTCTGTCAGAAAGTGGACTTTGCCAACAACATCCAGCTGTCTCTGACTCTGGCGGCGCTTTCCATCGGTCTGTGGTGGACATTTGACCGCTCACGTAGTGGCTTCAGCTTGGGGATCAGCATAGCCCTGCTGGCAACACTGGCCACTCAACTCCTGGTTTACAATGGAGTCTTTCAGTAAGTTTGCATATTGGTACAATAAGGGAAGAGTGAGAGGCTAGCAGCCTACAGCATTGAGTTTGTCGCTGCTTAACTGTAGAAAGTAATTTGTAGTTCTAGAAAATAGTCCCTCATTTGTATCAGTAAATTTGAAGTCATAGAAAGAAATGTGTTACACAAATACAACACAAAAGTTACACCTCAAATAAGAAGTGAATGAATGAAGCACCCCCAAGTTTCGACAGATACACAAAACATTCACTGAGATGTGGTGCAAAAGTGACAGTGTGCAGAACTTGTAATTTATAACCGAAAAAACATAATTTGTTAACCATGCCAGCAGATTCAAGCAGTTCTGATTGTTGTCTTGTGTTTGTGACAAATATCTGAGAGAAAAGAAAGGATTTGTGAGAACATATTCTACAGGTATGCAACTCATTGAATAACTGATTTGTGGACGTTCACATTTTTTCCATGACTTCACATTCTTTGTTACAGATGTATGAATGTGTTTTGCACTATATTTGCTGTAGCAACTGTCTTTAACAAAAACATGTAAGAGGCAGGGGGTTCTTAATTTGTGATTTCTCACACAGGATTTGTGCACCTGTAATGATATATTTAAGTTGAGTTTTAACAAAGCATTTTCTTTACAAATTTACAAATGACTTTCCACAAGTACAAATTCCACTTTCAAATGTGCTCAGTTGTACCTATATAATTATCTGTCATGTATCATAAATGAAGCCAAGTGTAGTTGCAGTTGAATTCTCTCTGCAGCATGGCTATCTCTTAAACCTTATGACCTCCTTCGTATCTTTAGTTGACCTTAGGACATTTTTCATTGAGGTAGAGGGAAAACAGTTTTGGGCTGAAGCATTTTGAAAAGGCTGCATTTGAGATACATTTGGTTCAAAATAACAAGTGGGACAACAATAGATATAATATCATGATCTGAAAACAACAGGAAATTGGTTATTAATTCATGTATTCACTGTGTGTTGGGTCTTTGCATTTATTACATCTTCAGTATGTTTAATACAGAAAAACTGCACTGTGGCAGCATCAGTATTACCTGTGAATTGCACAGCTACATGGACTTAAAAATAACTATGTATATTTCTGACAAATCAACTTTGTTACACAAGATGATACCATTGTAAAATAAATGTTCTAACTGGCTTTTTCATTTCTTTTTAAACTTTCCTTTGTCTAGATATTTCTAAATAGTCGTCTCAAGATTGTCAGAGCAAACACTTTTGAAAGTTAAGTGTTGGTATTAACTATTTAAAGAATTACAAGTTGCTTTTATGTGCTTCTTTTCTGCACAGGTACACTTCTCCAGATTTCCTGTACATTCGCTCCTGGTTACCTTGTATCTTCTTTGCAGGGGTGATAACAATGGGGAACATAGGACGGCAGCTAGCCTCGGTAAGAAATGTATGATTTCCTAAGATGAATAATATAATATATATTGTTATATAAAATGTCAGGATTGCATCTGTGTGTCCTTCCGAGTCCATGAACCAGAGGGCGGTTCGAACCCAGTGATCCCCACTATAAACTGTAAAGAGCTTTGAGTACTCATGAAGATTGGAAAAGCACTTTATAAATACAAACCATTTACCATTTAGCAGAAACTGGCCATGAAAGGGTATTCAGCTGTTTGTGTCTAACAGCTGACTGTTCTTGTGATTTTTTTTTTGTCAGTACGAATATAAGTTCATTCAAGAAAAGACCCATCAGGACTGAGGAATTGCTTGGTTCCATTTGGCTTCTACTCACAATGACATTGCCTCTGTACCAACCTGAAGCCACAGACAAGTTATTAGAAAAAATCTGCAGCTTACTCCAGACCAGGACCCAGCCATGTCAAATGAGCCCTGAGCTCCCGCCCAGTGCTTTTCGTTGGACCAGACAGTATTTTTGAACGGCTTTCATCAGGCCATTCAGAGCTTGCCGCGGTTAGTGGCTACAGTGTAACCTGAGCTGAGGTGAAGAGTGAGAGGATTGGTTGTTTTTTCTTTGGTGCAGTTCATCTTCACTTATCTGGAATGAGATTAGCAGCAAAGCGTTATTGACTGCAAATTTCTGAGGTTGGAAGTGAATGGTGAATTTGTTGATCCAGACATGACAACACTTTTAATCACATTTAGACATTTTCTTAGGAAATCACATTGTTTTTAAATACTTGCTTAAATTCAGGGAACAACATTTTAGCCATCTCAGTTGCTTGTTAAAATGGTTAAAAAGCAATGTTCACTTTGCCCAAAAAGATAGAAATGCCATATTTCTCAGCTTATTGTCTTCTTTCACCACTTGATG